TCTAGGGTTCCAAACATAAGAGAAAACGTGCAATCTTTGTATGTTTTAGTCTGCCTTGCTTAACATAATTGTCTCCAGTCCTAATCACTTTTCTGCAAGAACATAATTTTCTTTTTCCTTTCTACTGAGCAAACTTTCACTTAGTATACATGCCACTTTTTAACCCATCTATCTGTTGATGGGAATCTAGGCTGGTTCCATAGCTTGGTGCTGTAAACAGTGCCACAGTAAACATGAGTATGTGAGGCATGTTATGCTTCAGTCCCTTTTGATATATGCCTAGAGTGCTATGGCTGAATTATTCAGTAGCTCTATTGTTTTGAGGAATATCCATATTGGTTTCCATAATGACAACACATTGACATTCCTACCAGCAGTTAATGCCTCAATTTTTTTTCTAAATTTTTTTCAGTTGTTTTTTTTTTTTTTTTTTTTTTTTTTGAGAATGGGTGTTTTACCTACACAGAAGTGTATACACCATACACATTCAGTGCCCTTGGAGGCCAGAAGAAGGCACTAGATCCTCTGAGACTGAAGGTACAGAGTGGGGTAAACCACCATGTGGACGCTGGTTTTCTAGAAGTGTTCTTAACCCATGAGCCACCTCTCCAACACCCACACCTCAATTTTTAAAAATTCTGTTGTGCTGATAGTTCAAATTGTATAGGAGTGGGAATTATATATTTTAATTTTCAGTTAATTATTTCTTTTACCTGCTATTTATAAAAATAAGATGTAGGTGTATATGTCTATCAATTAAAAATCACATTATAAACTAGAGAAATGGCTCCAAGATTAAGAGTGCATTCTGCTCTTTCAGAGGACCCAGGGTCTGTTCTCAGCACTCACTAGGCAGCTCGTGACCGCTCATGCTCCAGAGAGTTCTCTTCTGACCTCTCTAGTACCTATGTGTATGTGTGCATGCATGTGTACACACATGCTTTTTGTTTTAGTTATATTATAAAATCCAGTTGGCTGTGATCAGCCAGATTTAAGGCCTTTCATACTTTAACTCCAAGGAGAAAATTTGTTTTCTCCTCTGTATACAGCACTTTATTGACACAGATTACCAAGTAGTTAGAAAAAGCTATGACCAATAAAATTGATGTAACAGTAACAAATACAAGTGAGCCCTTTCCACTTGCTGTAGAAAGGGATACTGTTTGTATGCATGAGGTATTATAAAATAAAAACAATGTATATCCAGAATTGTATGCTTTCCTTAAAGAATCAAGTCTGACCTCAAGGAATGAATTATAATTAGGCAAGCATAGATCATACAGATAGCAGGAAGAAGTGGCTTTCTAATCAACTGAGTTTTACAATTTTTTTTTCCTAATGCAGGCAAAGCCATCCTTTCACTTATGAATTCAGCTTGTTGATTATTATTTTTCCATCTGTACTCATTCACTTCTGGTTGTTGGGTGTGGCGGGGCTGAGGTGGCATTAATATAAGACCATGAGAGTGGGAGAACATGAAACATCCATGTTTTATCACATCTTGCTACCAGAGTTAAATAAAATAATCAGGATGGCTTCCACATTTTTCTGTGTAATAGAGCATTCTGAATAATGTAAGAATTGTCATCTAGATCTCATTGTGCTTGTGATCCCAGCACATGGAAGGCTCTGAGGCAGAAGGATCAAGAAGAGTGCCATGACATGGGCCAGAGAGATGGCAGAAGGGGCGGCTGGGCCCCCGGGAAATTGAATGGGTGTCTGACATCACATGACTGAAGTGTGCTGCACAGGCAGGTCTCCCTCAGCCCCACAATCCTCCCCTTCACCATGCAGCCTCCCAGAACAGGAGACTTTCTCAGTGTTCTTTGTCTGCCTCCAGAAAGGGAGACCTAATAATCTTTCCTTGTGTGGTGGAGCAAGCTAAGTGCTGCTTTCTCTCTTTCTTCCAGGACTTGACCCACCCTAAGGCCTAAGTACAAAGAACTAATTCCTACCTGCAGCAGATGAAGCTGCCTTTCCATAGGAAAGATAGGGAAATGGGGAAAAGAAGCTCTGATGGACTAGATAATGGCCAGGGAAGGGCATTCTGGGAAATGGTTCTGTATGTGAACGAGTGAAGCATCATAGCAGCACGATGCCTCTAGCTGCTCTCCCCAGCCCCTGCAGCTAATGCAAGGCAAGCACTGGCAGTTAACTGCTACTCTAATTCTCATTTTATCAGGATTTATTCAAGGTTTCCTATGAAGTGCTGCATAAGTTCAGTTTTGGATTTCAGAAATAAAGTAATCAAATGACAGTGAAGCACCATAGGCATAAAATGTTTTTTTTTAATGAAAATTGTATTTTTAATTTAATTGTACAAAAAAATCATCTGGATGCAATATGTCTAAGTGGCAGAGAAAGTGCTGTATTGTCTTACCACTAGCCTCAGACAGCTATTTGTACAGAGGTTAGTGAACAATTTCCCATTATTTAACTGCTTTCCATGCTCTCCATTAAACACTGACCTGACATTTGTTAAAATGCTCCATAGCCAGGGGATGATGGAATGGCTCAGTGGGTAAAGGCTGATGACCTGTGTTCTACCCCTGGAATGCACATGGATGGCAGAAGGAGAGAATCAACTCCCACCAGTTGTCTTCTGACCTCCACACATGTGCTGTGTGGCCTGTGGGTACGCACACGCGCACACACACACACACACACACACACACACACACACACAAAATAAATAAATAAAACTACCTTAGAACTCAGGTCCTCTGAAAATATTTTCACAAAAATACTGACTAAAGAATCTTCTGTACAGGGATGTTGAGATGACTCAGAGGTTAAAAGCCTGCTCTTCTAGAGGTCCTGAGTTCAATTCCCAGCAGCCACGTGGTGGCTCTTAACCATTCTTAATGGGATCTAGTGCCCTCTTCTGGCATACAGGTGTACATGCAGGAGAAACACTATACAAAATAAATTGGATGGATGGATGGATAGATGGAGTCATATTTTTAATGTGAATATAATAAAATTGGCTTTCATGCATGAGACTGGTATACAGGTCTATGAGTCTTAAAACATTGTAGTAAGCACTACTTTCGTCAAGACACAAAGTAGCTCCATCATACTGGAAAAGTCATATGTATATAACCTTTGGAGACTGAGTGCTTTCACTCAACATAACACCTTTGTTGTTTATGCTTGTAGAATAATCTGCATCATCAGTTTGTTCCTTCTCATTGCTGAGTATTGTTTATAGATGTCTCTCAGTTTGTTTATTCATTCATCTATTGATAGACTCAGTTGCATTCACTTGGGGTCATTATAGAGCTGCTGTAAGCAACCATGTATAAATCTTGTGTTATTAAAGCTTTGAGGTTTACATTAATTGGTGTGTGTGTGTGTGTGTGTGTGTGTGTGTGTGTGTGTGTGTGTGTGTGTGTGTGTGTGTGTGTTCTGGTTTGTTTAGTTTGTTCTTAGTTATTCGGGCAGGTTTTGGTAGTATCTCACTATATTTTTATTTGCCATCTACTAAATTGCTAAGAATGTTAAACATTTCATGTTCATTTGCTATTCATATGCCTTCTTTAGTGAAATGATTTCCAATCATTAGTTTTCTTCTAGAAGCTTTATAGTTAACATTTTATGTTTATACCTATGATCCATTTTGAATTGAATTGTGAGGGATGTGATTTGAATAAACATTTGTTTCTGCTGGAATGTAGATACCCAAATATCCCAACTTGTCTATCCTCTATTGAGTCACCTTTGCACCTTTGTAGGCAATGCATTGGTCATAGTTGTGTGTTGCATTCCTGATCTTAGTTTTCATTTCTTTGCAAAATACATTGTCTTGATGACGTTAGCTTTATAGATATTATTAAAATAAGTGATATGAGTCTTCCAACATTGCTTTTCTTTTTCAGAATTTCTGTGGCTGTTTGAGTTCCCTTGACTTTTCATAGATGCTTCAGAATCAGCTTTTTCATATTTAACCAAAACATTTTGTCTGGAATTGTATTACATATTTAGATCGATTTGCAGAAAACTGGCATCTAAACAGTATCAAATTTTCCAGTCTCTAAATGTATTTTTTTCTTCCTTTGTTTAGGGTCTTTCATCTGTATTGTTGTTTGACTTTATCAGCATTTGTTAATTTTCAATATGTCAGTCCTACACACAGACACACACACACTCACATACACATACACACACATACACACACACACACACACACTTTGTTAGATTTCTAAGTATTTCTATGTATAATTTAAAGATTTTAACTTTAAAAATGTATTTGTAAAACCAGGCATTTTGTTAGTTTTTTGCTTTGTTTTGTTTTTTGTTTTGTTTTTTTGTTTTTTGTTTCATTGTGTATTTTTCAAATATGTTACTGGATTCAGTTTGCTAAAGGTTTCGTGTCCAAGCTCATGGAGAATATAAGTTTATTATTTTCTTATACTGTCTTTACTTTTGGTATCAGAATGATGGTTCTTAAAATGAGTTAAATGTGTTCCTTTCTATTTTCTAGAAGAAATGTAGAGAATTAATGGTATTTATTTAGATGTGTGGTACGGTTCACTGATGAAATCATTTGGGCCTGGAATTTCTCCTGAAATATTTATAATTCGAGATTTAATTTCTTCAACAGATACAGATCAGTCAGACTATTTGAAGGAGGGGGAGATTTAGTAGTTTGTACTTTCAAGGAATTGTTTGGTCTAAGTTGTTGAATATGCTGTTACACCTAGAGTTCAAATAATCCCTTTTTATATGTGATATCTTTGTGGTCTGTGGTGATGATCCCCTTAAATTCCTAGTTCTGGTAATAACGCCTCTCTGTTTCGTCTCTTTTCTTTTTCTTTTGTTTGTTTGTTGTTTGCTTAATATCCCAGCCCATAGTTTCCCTTCCTTCCTCTTCTCCCAGTCCCAGACCCCTCTGTTCCCACCCTCCAGTCCATTCCTCCTCCATTTCTGTTTAGGAAAGGACAGGTTTCCCATGAGTATCAATAATACCTAATAGTTTTCTGCCTGTTGTCTCCTTGCAGTTGACTGGCCTGAGTGTCTCCAATGGAAAGGACCAACTTGTAGTGTTCCATACAAAAGACAACAAAGACCTCATTGTCTGCCTCTTTAGCAAACAGCCAACCCATGAGAGTCGAATTGGAGAACTTGTTGGAGTCCTGGTGAATCATTTCAAGAGGTAAAATTTTATTTTTATAACTAAAAGATGAGTTTTAAATGCACAAAATGTTTAATCATACTTGTCACTGAACTTGTTTGTTCCAACATGAATATATCATTATTTTCCTTCACAAGGACAAATTAAAGCATCCACTTCATCGAAGGTAAAATTAGCACCCAGCCTTAGTTTCAAGTCTAGGAATGATCCTAGGATTTTTCCAGCGTCTATCTTTGCCAACAATGAGAGATTCCCTCATGGTCATTTCATTGCTGCCAATCCAAACAATGGAAGAAGTTACTTTATATTCTTATTGCCACTGCTTTGCATTTATCCCAAACATAATCAGTTTGTGTGTCTGTCATGACTATAAACAAATTAGAAAGTGAATTAAGATAGCATGTAGGTCCATAAAGGCTGAAGAAATTCCCAGGACATAAGAAATTGTTATAGAAACAATAGGACAGAAAACAGCATAGTCTGAGAAAGTCAGTATAAAGCAAATGCTATCTTGGAGAAGGGACTGGGGGTGGGTGTGGAACAATACTATAGGAAATATAGGCTGAAATGATGGGTCAGCTGTTGAGAGCACTTGCTACTCTTCAGAGGACCCAGGTTCAATTCCCAGCACCCAAATGAAGGCTCACAACTATCTGTAACTCTGATGCCACCTTCTGGCCTCTGTGGGCACTGCACACATATGGTACATACACATGTAGGCAAAACACCCATACATATACATATAAAAATAATAAATGTTTTTAAGAGAAATATGGACTTCAGATTCCCCCAGGGTGATGGGGAATAGTTAGTAAATAATTTTAGGAAGGGGAGTAGAGTTGTCAGGTTATGTGTTGAAATGTTGGAGATGGGGTTTTCTTTTATGTAAGTGGCCATGGAGTATTGGGGCAGTGTCATCTCCTAATTTAATGTTCTCATTGTGATGTGCTATCTTTCCTCATCCCATCTTGGTGTGAGAACAAAATCACGCAACAAAAATCAATGGTGGCAAACAGTACAGGTGTTAGTTTCTTTTCTTCCTAAAAGATATTGCTACATTCTCAGAAATGCCCAGAGATCCTTGCCTGTGTTATACCTGTGTCTACAAGTTTTACTATCTTTTTTTCTGCTGGCAAATGTATATAGTGTAATGAAAGCAGTCTATTTGTTTGAGACAAGATCTCTATGTAGACCAGGCTGACTTCAAACTCAGAGAGCCACCTGCCCCTGCCTCCTAAGCACACTATTGTTATTAAACCTTATATTCTAAAAGAAAAATGGACTTTTAAATATTTTACATTTAAATATTTATATAGCTTATTAATTATACTTAGTGGTCATCTGGTAGAAAGAAATAGAATGTAGAGAAGTGATTTTAAAAAGTCAATAAATATGTAGGCTTTTGTGATGGTTCATCCATATTGTCAGCTTGACTGAATTTAGAGATGCCTAAGCCTAACAAAACACACTGCTGGCTGTCTGAGAGAGCATTCCCAGAGACAGTTAACATGTGGAGCAGTAGCTGAGAACAAAGAGCCTGGGGGCCCAGATGAACTCCCTGCATCTGCCAAAGAACTGTAAAGCTAGGAAACATACCAGAGTGTAAAATAGAAAGCTCTAACAGAAGCTCCTGTGGTAAACACCCCTAACTCACACAAGCAGGCTTGTTTTCCTGTAAATATTTAGTCATGGCAAAGCATGGACAATCAAAGAAGTCAGAGTTCTCTGTCTCTTACTTGTACTAATGAATACAATCGGTTTTGCCTTGGGTTGAAATATTCTTGTCTCGGTCTGAGTTCTTGTTTAGTAAATTGCAACACACGTGAAATGTCTTCTCCCCATGATGGCTCTCAAACCTGTCTGTGGGTTCTCTTCTATCATGCAGATACATTCCTAGGTGTGTGCCTCCTACTTGTAACCTAAGAGAGAATTTGTAATTTCTTTAAAATTCCTAGATGTAAAAAAAAAAAAAGAAAGTTGACAAGATGCCAGGGCTTTTTTCCAAGTTATTCTTTGTTTTTCTGTCTTATGAACTTTGAGATCAATTAGTAATAAAGTATTAATCTCTCTTTGCTAAAACCAGAAAAACAATTCAAATTAGAGTTGTAATCAACAACCTACTACTTATTTGATGAGGAAAAATTATTTTTACTTTTTTCTGGCCATTGTCTTTTATTGTCAGGTCTCATATCATTATTGAGACCATCACAGTTCACAGTGTGTTCTACAAGCCTAATGGTGTGGCATGTAATCTTACTTATGCCTACATTAATGATGGAAATCCACAGTGCAGAGGGGTAGGGTTCTTGACAACTCTTTATTTTCTAGATTTTTCCCTAAAGCACGTGCAAGTCCATAGACCAGTGAGGCTGTAACCTCAGAATGCAAGGAGGCAAGTCCACTTGAAAGCTCGCTCTACCTATATACTCGCCAAGTTGAAAGGGAAAAGAGTTCCACCTTCCCAGCAAAAGACAAAAGTACTATTTCATAAAAGGCAGTACTCACCACAAATGAGTAACACCCAAAGTGAGTAAGCAAGGAATGGGCCAAGAGAAAAACAAAAAGCAGATTGATAGCTGCAGATCAGAGCCAGCTGAACAGAAGTGGTCACATGGCCACCACCCAGCAGTGCTATGGCCTAAAGTGGTTTCTTGTCCTACTGACCCCAGTGACAAAGAGCATATACAAGACCAGGGAAGGATGGCCTGAGCAGAGGACATGGCAGAGGCTGATGTGAGGCCCTAACCCAAACTGAAAGTACAGCACAACCTAGCTAAGTAACTTCTTTCCTCAAGAGCTACACTTCAGCAAGCAGCTTTCCCATGAAAGATGAGATGCCAGAAGGGAACAGCAAGAGAAGTGTGCAAAGAAAATAAGCAAAAGCAGATAGAGAAAGGGGGAAATACAGGAATAAGCTTTGTATGTCTATGAAAAGCTGAAAAGGCTGGGTGTGATGGCACATTCCTTTTATCTAACATTCACAATACACAGACAGGAGGATCAAAAGTGAGAGCCAGGCATAGTGTCACAAGCCTTGAATACCAGCACTCAGGCGGCAGAGGCACACAGATTCATCAGGGCTAGCCTGATGAATATAAAAAGTTCCTGACCATCCAGAGCTACACAGAGATCTGTCTCAAAAATAAGAAAATAAGCAAGAAGCAATGAAAAAAGACAGGGCCAAGGTGGAGTGACAGGGGCTAGGACTAGATCTCTATACCCCTACCTTAAATCACAACAAAAAAAAAATAAGTCAAATACATGAAAAAAGCATTTTGAGGGCTGGAGAGATGGTTCAGAGCTTAAGAACACTGACTGTTCTTCCAGAGGATCCAGATTCAATTCCTAGCACCTGCACGGCAGTTCACAACTGTCTGTAACTCCAGTTCCAGGGGACCTGACACCCTCACACAGACATACATGAAGCCAAGACACAAATGCATATAAAATAAAAATAAATCTTTTAAAAAAAAAAAAGAAATAAAACATTTTCAAGACCTAGAACATCAGGCAAGAACAGGCAGTGCTTGAAAACAAGGGGAGGCTTGCTAGGCAGAGCCCCTAGACCATGGCACACACAGGGAACCCTGAGGCTATATGTAGTCTAGGTCACCAAGTCTGAAGATCAAAGTGCCAGAGAGAAGAAGCAAACAGAGACCCCTAAAGATCTCATAAGACCCCCCCCCAAGCATTCCCAAACAGCTAATGAGTATGTGAGGAGGGAAATCCCACAGCTAGGGAATGGTAACCAGGCGAGTGCCAGGGACAACAAAGGTCCTTTCAAAGCAGACTGAGCAGCCCATCATTACAGACATTTGTATTAGGACTCAGGAAGATCTTGTCTCAGGAGAAGAAATAATAATTGGCCCTAGGATCAATCAGTGCTTTTATAGAAAATATTGTTCAGTAAGTCTTCAAAGCAACGCCCACCTGCTTCCATAGAACATATCACGGGGCAAATCTCATGAGTTTTGCTTTGTTCTGTTCTGTTCTGTTTTGTTTTGTTGGTTTTTTGAATCAGGGTTTATCTGTATAATAGCCTTGGGTGTCCTGGAACTCACTTTAATAGACCAAGCTGGCTCAAACTCACAGAGATCTGCATGCCTCTGCCTCCCTAGTGCTGGGGTTAAAGGCTGTGACACTACATCCTGCATGAGTATATACAAGAACCCCAAAATTTTTCACAGCCAGTAAGGTAGAATTCACGATGTCTGACATCCAATCAAAGAGTATCAGGCATACAAATGGCAAGAATACACAACCATTATTTCAGACATTTATGAGTTAACTTGAGGCAGAAGGCTTTATAAAAACAAGGGCTAAGTTAATTCAGTAAATTGATCTCCATCACCATCTTCATGGATGAGCTGAAGCCAGACAGGTCCTGGCACTTCCTTCCATGAGAGTCCGGAAACTAACCCCTTATCAGTGTAGATGAGCCTTTCTTCTCATCTCCCGCAGTGCTCACCCTACCTGTGCCTGTAACCCCTGCCTCCCTGCATCTGAAGACAGTGAGTGTAGAGAGCTGGGCATGCACTCTCATGGGCTAAGCACATACTCTCCCACTGAGTTCACCCCTTGCCCAAAAGACAGTCTTTAATAAAGTGTTTTCTAGAATGTGACACTCGGATTATTCAGGGCAAGGGCGTAATTCAGGACCTTGAACAGTTCAATTCATAGAACACACAGGTGCACAAAAAAAGATTATTTAATAGATAACCAGTATGGCTTAAGGATAGACCATTGGAACACACACCACTCAGAAACATCTGACAGAACCATGCCGCTAGTGCCAGCTGTAGTCCACACATGAGAGGTCTCACCTAGATCAGCAAAGACCTAACGAAAGTCAGACATGCTTGGGATGTACTAGTGAAGTTCCTGGGTTTCTTCTCAGTGCCTTTGTTTTCACATGAAACCAGCAGGACAGCAAGAGCTCCATCTGTTGGCACAAAGCCGTTTCTAAAGTAGGGGGGCAAGGCAATGTGCAAAATGATGTGTGTTGCCAGCCGCCATTTGTG